GACCAAAGCCGATTAAAAGCGTCTCATAATGCAGAGACATTGCCTCGGAGCACGAATAGGTAGGAGCACAATGCATCGTTAGCCCCTGAAAAACGAAACACTAATGCCATTAAGCTCCCAGAATGCCGCATTACAACAGGCTCGCTATTTTCACTTTAGCTTTTCATTAGATCTTGTTGTCTGGAGCGGCTCGGCCTAATGAAATCAACAATGAGCCAAATCAAGACTTGACAATTTGGTTGTGAATAACAGGAGCAGCAGAACACCTCATAATTACTGAGTGAATGTGAGACATGAAAATGAGGAATGCAGGGATGATGGCCTGATTAAAACCTCACCCGGAGAAGGAATGAACTGAGGAAATCAAAGGGTGGAAAAAAGAGGAGATGATCTATAAATATATCAGCTGTTCCTACAAATCTGTTCTCCATGTTCTTATCACCATTTCTGGAGTCTTTCTTTGTGGGTGAAATAGATGATGTTGAACATTCAAGAAATTAAAGAAAAAAAAAAAAACTTGACCCTTTGACCTTTGATTGACATCTACCTTACAACAACTCAATATCCCAGAATGCCATGTTGTGGTTGTATTAATCAAGATCAACCCCTCCATAGGAGAAGTCCTCATGAAAACCTCAGGCATCCCCATGATGCATGTACCAATGTACCAAGGTGCAATGTTCCACCCCTTCCAATGATATATATTAACTGTCACACTTGAGGAAGTTGTTGTTCGGTTCATAGACTGACATCTTTAGGGCCATGAACCTGTGGCACAGTCATGTTAAAGCATGAAGACATTTCTCGACAGATGCACAACAGCAGCCAGAAAGACAGAATGTTGGATATGAGACAGACGACAGACAGGAGTCTACGATTACAGAGCTATGCTGCTGTAATCCCTGCACAATGTGTTTTGTCATTGTGTCGCTAGAGTATGAAGCTTGTCCCTCAAAAAGGCATGGTCACAAGCCAGGAGGTCCCTCTTGACTTGTGGATATGGTATCCATAATTTCCATAAAGAATATCAAGAAGAACTTGGTGGTCTTTCTGGATCATGTTAATTTTTTGTTTTTACCTTTTACATGCTGTTCATGCATGTTTATGACTCTCAGAGACTCTCCCGCCAAATGCGTACAATGCTACTGGGCAAGTGGTGGAGTGCAGGCAATGCTACTGCGCAATGATGGTTTCAGGAAATGTAGAGAAAAAACGCAGAATTACCGAGAGCTATTTGGCTTCAAATCGGTATACTGGTGGAAGGCGGAACCAAGTTGTCCATAGTATATACAGTCAGTCTCTCACAGAGTGGTGGACATTTTCCCTCTAAAGTTACCTAAAGACATACAATGTGAATAAATATTTTGATATTTGCACTAATCACATTCATCTTTTCTGAACCAAAGCACCTTTTACTGAAATTTTCAAAAACATTTGAGCTTTTTCCGATTAAAAAAACATTTTTTCAATCTTTGATTTGATGGTGGAAACAGATGTGATTCTTTCTTCTCCCTGTCGTTTCTTTGTGTAGAGCTGAGGGAGGCTCGGTGATGGAGAAAGCCGAGCGTCTGACAGCCCGTCATAGAGTTAAATTCAGTGTCAGACGGGTAACACTTTCCCACTGACGTTAATTACAGGTGACAGGGCTAAGTATCAGGCTCCACACAATGACAACGATGACTCTGGAGGAAATTCTTCATGGTTTCTCCTTCATCTGTGCTGACAGGAGTGATTATGCAGACCAGGAACTTTCTGGACTAAATATTGGACCTTGGCATGGTGGAGGGAGGAATTGCTGGAAGAATACAAGATTCAAACAGAAGACTCAAATTGATACTATATATTAAGGGTCCCACAAATTCGTATTGTTTTTTGCTGAAATCAAATCAAATCAATGCAAATGAATTATTCCTATAAATAGTTAAAGCCGCTGCAAAAGCATCATTACATGTGAGACACTGACAGCATGACATAACAGAGAGGGGTTTGATCTCAGAAAACAGTCTTTTTTTTTCTTTTTTTGACAGCTGATAGCTGCTTTTTTCTTTAATAGCCCTTCATATCTCTGTATAGCAAGTCACCAGGTTATATCAATTTTGCTTTATGCTTCTATATGCACAGTTCCCTGTTGTTTCCAAGCCAAGTCTCCTCCAGTAACAAACCATAGGGAACATGGAGGTAAATTCCTAGCTACACTTGCTGTTGGACAGTCTGTTTATAAAAACCAAGGCTCACAAAACTTACATTTTATTTTTTTCCTTACATGTTATTCAAACATTGTTTAGTCTCTCAACTTCCAGTGTTTCTTCCAAGGACATGGAAGAAAAAACATGAGGAGCTTAATATTTAACCATATATTTAATTAGTTGACCTTGTCCAGATTGCTAGGTTCTGAAATGTAGGCTTATTAAATATTGGATTTCAGTTTGTTGGGTTTCAAAATTCTGTTTTACAGAATGCTTGGTTCTGGAATGCAGGGTTCTAGAAATGCTGGGTTGCAGAATGCCAAATTCTGGCATGCTGGGTCCTGAAATGTTGAGTGCTGAAATGCAGGGTTCTAGATTTTGGTTAAAGTCTGCTGGGTTTCAAAACACTGGGTTCGAGAAAGCAGGACTTCCATTATGCTGGGTTCTAGAATGCCGAATTTCAGAATGAAGAGTTCTAAAATGCCAGAGCCTGAAATGCAGGGTAACAGAATGCTACTAGGTCCTGAAATCTTGGTGGACGATATGTAGAGTTCAGGAATATTAGATTTAAACCTGCTGGGTTGAAGGAAGCAGGGTTCCAGATTTCCAGATTGCTGAGTACCAGAATGCTGGGTTCTAGAATAATGAAGCGTTCTGAAATGTTGGGTTTAATAATGATGGTTTCCAAAATGTCAGATTCCAGACTGCTAGGTTCTAGAATGCTGGATCTCAGAATGCAGGGCTCTAGAATGTTGGGTTTTGGAAAGCCAGAGAATGAAATGCAGGGTAATGGAATCTTGGTTGATTATATGCAGGGTTCAGGAATATTACATTTGAAGGAAGCAGGGTTCCAGAATGCAGGGTTTTGGAATGGTGGGTGTTAGAATTCCAGGTTGCAAAAACTTGGTACAGACATTCATTTTCCCCATTAGAAGTTTAGCATCACTATGTTCATGTTGGTATACTCAGAAAAGGTCTGATAGTTCTTAGTATTATTCTGCTAGAAGCACTGCTGTGTGTACCTTAACTGACTGACTGCGAGCATGGCTCAAAATAGAAATTAGTCATCAATCAGAGAGTGTTAGTTAGTCATAAATCATGATTCACACAGCAAGAGTAACAAAATTATTAATGAACAATGCAGATCAGTCTGAGAGAGAAAACTTGGAGCCTGACTGCACAGCTGATGACACTGTTTGCTTTTGTCTGAGGTCTGAAAAGTTCAGTTTTGTTGAGTTTGGACAGAAGGGCACACTTCTGTATGATACCAGTTCAAGTGTTTCCCCCTCTTCCCCCCCCAGCACCTGTAGGTGCAATCTCCGGTGCTGTAACAGTTGTTTTAATGGTCCTGCATAAGTACTTTGAACTTGTTGAGTGTAATCACCTCTGAATCATCTCACATACTTGCAGCATCCCAATTACTCCATAATTTATGCCATAAGAAAGTTCAGCTCTCAGACTGTAGGACACTAACACCTTCCACTGAAGCAGAGCAATAACAATAAATGTTCTGTACTGATGAAAACTTAGAAAGAGTTCTTTTTTTTTTAAATCAGGAGAAAAGGTAAGGTCAGACCATCATATAGTAAAAAAGCTATCATATGAAAACAATCAGCACTTTTTCTAGAGTCTAATCTACCGTTCCTGCTCTGATCTGAAAAAGCACAAATGTGAGGACTTAAAATCACCTTGGTTCACACATAAAGTTTTGCACCTTTGTGCAGTTTGCTCGTATTTGTATCTGATTGTGGAGACGAGCTGTCAGCATCATCCAGCCTTAGAGATGTTGTAAGCCATCTGAGTGTTCATATCATATCTTCACAACCAGGAGATCGACTGGCTCTTATGACATTTTTACTGATCCAGAGTGCCTTGGATGAGTACACTTGGACCTTAAATGTTACAACCTTTAATCCTAACACTCCACCTCAAATGTCCCTTTGTTCAGAGCAATAATTTGGCCAAAATTTTGACTGAATCCCAGCAAAGCCAATGATATTCCTAAGTTCACCTCTAAACACTGCAACCAGAGTGTTCGAGAACAAATTCTGAAATAGAAGATAATGAAATTGAAATCTTCCTTTGCCAGGCCTTAGTATGTCTCCTTGCTTTAGGAAAAAATGTTTCCTAAGGTGCATAACGATCCTGTTCTGTCTGTGTGGTATCAGGGTTTAAAAACAGGACAGACAGTCCTGCTGCTGAACTGCCTAATAGTTTTGTTTTGAATCTTTGGGCATGATTGCCTTTTGAAAAGATGAATAATGTGATCAAGCACAAACGTTCAGCCTGTTGAAGAGACAGTTTGTGCTCATGCTCAGGCTGCTGGAAACAGACAGGCAGGGGTTTCTATGACACAATGTCAGGATAATTCTCAATCACATATCATTATAATTTATTCTCTGTTAAATCATGGTGTCTCATTCAGATGGAGCTCGGTGTCTTCACAGCAAAATCAGGCATCAACAGTAGCACAACAGTAATATTTAACAACATCGTCAACAAATATTTAATAGAAGAAAACTACATGAGGAAGGAATACAGATTGTTATGTTAGGGTGGTAAAGATTATGCCAGCTACCACCAGGTAAAAGCAACACAGTAGCTACGTTTACATGGAGCCAAATATTCAGAATATAATCGGATTAGAAGCCCAATCGGAATGAAAATGCTCCATATAAACACCTCATTCGGAATAAACAGGCCCATTCCGAATGGAATTTCATTCCGATTCACAGGGGTAGAATTTTCCTTTTCCCATTCCGATTAAAAGCAAAATCCTGTCATGTAAACGGTGAATCGGAAAGTTGTCAGACTGGGTTCTGTCTGCGCATGCTCTGTCCTGATGTAAACAAGCAGTGACGTATGACTCACATGGAAACATGATGGCGGCTTCCAAGCAGAGCACGATGCACTGGTCTGCGTCGGAGATCACGTGATCAATCAATCACGTGATCAATCAATCACGTGATGTTTGAAGGTATCACGTGTCTGTAAATAGCTGTTCCGATTGAATGCCGTGGCACATGTAAACACCAGATCAGAATAGATCGCTTCCATGTAAACAGTTCGCCTGGGAGCTTCAATCGGAATGATTATAATCCGAATGAGAAAAAAGTCTGCATGTAAACGTGGCTATTGATGTCTGCTTCGCAGAGCAACTTAGCATACCCTGAGGTTAACTCAGCTGACACTAAGATAACTTTTTTTGCATCTTCTTTGGGAATGTAAAACATCTTCAGTTTGACCAGGAGCTACTTTATAGATACATATTAATTATGAATTTTTTTTTTTTCAGTACATCTTGGGGAAATTCTCAAGTCACACAGCCATATGTATATAAAGAAATGAAATGTAACTCATAGCTTTTTCAGCTGCTTAAAAAATGGTTAAGAATCATAACAATAAGGCATTTTGTTTCATCAATACCTTTTTTTTGTTTTTGGAAATCAAAAGTTTGGCTGTAGAGCTTCTGTACTTTTCCTTTAGTACAGTGTCAAAGCTGCTCTAATGTTTCTGCATAACTTTCTACATTACCTATGATTGTGATGGCTAAAATTTGGAGCTTATCAGTACCTTGTTTTTCATATTAAACATTTTAAGTCACACTTTTTTGGTTTGATTGTTAGATTTATAACCTCAGGAAGAGAGTGTGGTCAAAATGCTGTAATTATTGATTAATTTGTGTAAGTGTGTCAGCTATTAAAAACTAATATTGTGTACATATATTCCACAAATAATCAAAAAAATATTCACTTTCATTAGTTCTTTTTTACATTTATCATTAGGTATCTCTTTATAAAACAAACAAAAAAAAAAGTGCTGACGTGATCCCGAGGTAGAAAGAAACTGAATTCAATGAAGAGAGAGTTGAACTGAAAATACGAGTAAACTCTCCTGCTGGAAAAGAAGCAGACTAACTGATATTTGCATTTATAGGGTTCACTCAACACCTGCCTCTAATAAGCCACTTACTCGCTCTCCTTTTCTTGTTTTTATTTGCGTATGATGGAAAAATTAGTTCCTGTCCATCAAATCTCGCTCAGCTGTCACAACCAATGAAAGAGTCCATTTGTTTCTGCACGTTCCCTCACTGTGCACTTACTCCGAGTCCAGGACGCAGGCCAAGGTAGGCCAGAAATCAATAGAGATTGGACACAGTCGAGTTCCTGCCTCAATTCTCCTTCTAGCCACAAATGCATGCTAGGAGAACAAACCTACCGAGGCGGGAGGAAAACAGGCCTCACCTTCAGATTCAAATCGTGCAAAAATAGCTGTATCTTTACAATGTTTACAGTGTTGAGGAAAATTAGAAGGGTTTATTTCATTTTTCAATATGTCAATACAGAGGTGCCATCCAGGAGGAGAAAGTAGGACAATTCTGAAAGGTTAGCCATTCTTCCGGAGTGTGTTGCATGTATGAAATCAATGAACTGCTGCCAAGAAAACAAACCTTTATTTCTGCAGACTAACAAAAATATTTTGAACAGTTTGAACTAACCTTAACACATTAAGACCTGAACCCTGTCTGAGACACACCTCTGAAACTCTGAGGGCAATTTTGAGAAGGGCCCCCCGATCCTGAGGTTTTCTGAAGTGTTGAGGTTTACAAAAAAGCTGATATCTCGGCCTCTGGAACAGATAGAAACAAAATTCAGAAAGTATTTTAGAGCTTACACATACGGCTTTCAACATAACTCTTTTATTTTTCCGAACCTTTACCAGATTTTTAAAAACCTTGAACAACAAACTCAAATGAAGTAAAGGGGGTGTATAAATAAAAGTAAAGACTCTGCACTGGAGAAAATCAAACAGTTTGCGTTCTATAGAACGTGATAAATCATGAGTGAAAGAGAGTGAGGAATAAGCAGAGTGGACGTTGCTGCCAACACGAAAAGACTGCTGTTTGTATTTCTCTTTATTTTATTCCTTACCCAGTATAAGCGTCCTCGCACTTGGCTACAATAAAATAAATTTAAATCAAATGTTCATTTATTCTTGAATCCCAAAGGAAGTTGCAGCAGAGGGATGAAAGAGCCACATGCGGCTGCGGAGCTGCGGGTTGCCGACCCCTGACCTCGGTCATAGGTATCTTATTTTTTATTGAAAGGGCAAGTGGACGTGTCTGAAGTTCTTTAAGACATTTTGCCTCTCTCCCAAAAGGCTTCTTCAATTACATGCTCATTTTAGATTTGATGCCAGCAACATGTTGTGTAATAGTGTGTTCACCATTGTGTTGCTCCTAAACCTGTGGATATCGCTCAGCAATCATGGAGCCTTCACAGATGTGGAAGCTACAAGCAATAGTTTTTTAAAGTGATTCTGAGCCCACGCAGTGATTTCTTGATAGAGTCCTGTCTGTTTTTGATGCAGTGCTGCCTGAGGGCCTGAAGATCAGGACCATCCAGTCTTGGATGGTCCTTGTCCCTTTAGTACAGAGATTTATCCAGATTCTCTGAATCCTTTAATAATTTTGTGAACAGTAGATGATGAACTCCACTCATTCTTTCACGTTTTTGTGTGTGTGTGTGTGTGTGTGTGTGTGTGTTTATGTGAAATAGTGGACATTTTGCTTACGGAGTCTTTTACACAGCACCAGCCCTTGATAACTGTATATAGTTGAAACAAATACAAGCATATCATTTGTGTTATAATTAGGGTGACCATATTCTTAATCCCCAAAAAGAGGCCACTACTATGCGCTGGGTGCATGGGCACACAACATTTCGAGGGTTTCACGGGTCAGAGAGTATTTTTTACACACTTCTAACTCGGTTAAACGCATATTCTGAATTACCAAACAGACACTTAACCAAGAGATACTGATAAACACTCACACAAAGTTGCATTTATAAACAATATATTTATTTATCTGAAGCAATTCTTCTCAATAAAATTATTAGTCACATACAAATATATCCCCCTTTTCTTTCGCTCACCGGCAGACAGTGCATGCGAGCGAGCGTGTGTTGCGTCAGTGGCTTTGCTTAGAAGTGAGCGGAGGAGCAGAGCAGCAGTGAGCACTAATGCGCTGCACTGTTTTATAATGAATGAATACACATTCTGGGGTTTGGTGTCAAAGAGTGTGTTTCCAAATGAACCATTGAACGTGTTTGGTAAATACAATGGTCTGTGATGTGAAGATAGAGTACGTCTTACACAAACTCAAAACTATAGAAGCCCGTTTCCACTAGTGAAAAAAACAGGCTTCCATACCAAACCCATTTGACATTTGAAAGATTTTATAAACTCCCCTGATAGGTCGGACAGCCCCCCAAAAGAGGACATGTCCGCGTAAAGGAGGACGTTTGGTCACCCTAGTATAATCCACTCTGAATGGTTCCTACGGGTGGAGGTGTTCCTAAAAATAACTGTTTGCTCTGTCAGGTTTCAACTTTGATTTTTATTCAAAGTCAGACCAAGATGTCTGAAAGAACTATTTTCCTCTTCCTGGAGTGAAAATGCACAAACATCAGATCAAAGTTGTGTTCACCTTGGTAACTTTTATTTCTTCTCTGTGTTTTTTAATCAAATCAAAGATGAGATGTGGTCTAAAGAATTGTGTTTGATGTAAGGGAAGCTGCAGAAATCTCCCTGATTCTCCAGGATCTGCCAGTGCTGACCCATCAGACTGACCTTGGACATAACAAATGGTTCACACAGCTCACACTGACACACACACACACACACACACACACACACAAAGAGCTGAGGCCATGTGAAGCCTGTCACAGGTCACTTCTTGAAGGATTTGTCTTATTTATTCTTTATGTGGAACACATGGATCTGCAGTGAAAGAAACCGAATGAAGCAGGAAATTCCCGCTTTAGTTTTCCGATGACTGAACAAACATGAGTGATCATCCACAGCTGGTGCTAAATGAACTGTAGCTGCAGCTTTATATGGTATACAAGCATATTATGGATTTTATTTTAACTCAATGGGCTCTTTTTTCATGCCTACCTGCGCGGTGGTAGAGTGCCACAGCCTGCGCAGTGGTATTTTAGTCTGGCTTAGCATAGCCGGTTTGGTATTTTGGTAGACTGAAGTGCACCAAGGTCCACCCAGCTGGGCATGGCAGCACGGTAGGGGGAGAATCAACTGGCGCAGTAACATTTTTGTGCCTGCCAGCGGCATGGAAACTGCACTGAAAGCTCGCTGATTCAAACCTGGTCAGCTTGCAGCGCAGGCAAAGTGCAGCTGGTCTATTGGTACTTCAGTAGACCTGCGTCGTAGTGCGCATACGTCACCGATGCCTCACCGGCAGGTTTCCACAGTATCAGGCACATTTCAATGCAATAAATAATCAACAACCAATATTCAGTGCAACTATCTGAGTCAGCACATACATTTAGATCTATATCGGTATTATGATCTATATCTTATCTTATGAGTGCGTGTGGCACGCATTTGGACACACAACCTGACGTAATCAACACAGCTGAAACTGCATTAAATTAAATTAAATTAAATTAAATATCCAGTAAATAAATAGTCACACATTCGTCTCCCCCCTTTTTCTCTCTCTCTCTTCCTCTTCTTTCTCGCGCAGCTTGAACTGGACACATCTCCATGTCCTCTCCCCGTCCAACTGCAGAGGATTTATTTTTGAGATCAGATGAGTTATTTACTTTAAAAAATTGGACAAAAAAATAAAAGAAGCTTTCATTCAAAATAAACTGTTTATCTGATGTTCTCTGATCCTTTAAATTCTGTGAATATTCAATCCTGATTTAGGCTCACATACGAATATTACAATATTCAGTTGTGTGAGTTCATTTTCTATGCCAACATCAATAAAAGAAAGAGTCAGGCCACGGAGTGTGATGTGTCCTTTACGCACAGGTGGTTCCAATTTTAATGCCATTATTGGAATTCAATCATGTTGTGATCTGTGCACACAACCCACCTTTGTCATGTGGGTCCTAAATATATGCAACTTTATTTGTGGAAAAGGGCAGTTGTCTTACCAATGAGTACAACCTTACACACACCAAATCCCTCTGTGCTCATTTGAGAGTGTGGAGGACGCCCTCAGCAGCACTTACCGCGACACTTGTCGAGGCGCTGCCCTCTGTCGCCATGTTGCATTGCTGTCTTCAGCCTTCCCTTCGAGTACTTTACCAAATTTGCAATACGCCTCAAT